CCCCCCCCCCCCCCCCCACCCCCACACACACACACACACACACACACACACACAAACACACACACTTGATTTTTTTAAATTCAATTTATTTATTATTGGTTGATGGGGGAAATGGGAGTAAAAAAGAAAAAAATAGGCCAAGTCTCAAAAGTGATTCAGTTGGTCGGAATGCTTTAGAAAAGATGAAAACGAAACACAATGTTGCACCTTTGTTTTCACAACAAAAGCATTTCCGAGTCGGTCACTTTCAGAACGAGTAACCGCATAGTATCGGTGCACTTCCGGGTCACGTGACTACTGTTATTCAAACTGTGCGTACTACATTACTCACGTTGTTATATACGAGGAACGAGGGCCATGTATATCATCGCATGACTAACGGGAAATGGTCCAAGAATGGGTCTTCAGTTCAGAAGAGATATAACATTAACAGGTAGGTGAAATCGAGGGAGTACTTTATAGTAGAAAGGGGTAAAATCAAATCGGCCACCGCAGGCTGTCCTCTGTACTGTAGGCAAGTGCCCTGCCCAAAAATGGCTGCCACCATAAACAATGATCGGTTCTTCTACCATCAGCTACACATGTCATCTTTGGAGCAATATGTACTTCTGCTGGTTTGGGATCGTGTCTGGTGATCACGTTCTTGGAGTGGTCGTGATGGCAACTGCTGTTATTCAGACCAGTAATTGCTGTATTGACACATATTGTCTCACAATGTTCCGCGATGAAACCAGTAAATGAGAATTACTAGTCAGTTATGACTTGTACGAGGTGAACCGAATATTGAACTTCTATGATCAGGAAAAGGAACAGGAGGTTCTTTAAACTTTCTCCTCCCTGTTTGCCCTATAAATGACTGATAATGTCAATGGTGAACATGTTCTGACTTCCATTCTTCTGGCGCAATGCTTCAGAAATCATGGTTAACAAAAAGATGCAAATACTGGTACTATCTAAGAAACAGAAGAATTGTTTTTTTATTTATTATAGGAATATATAAATTTCCCAGTTCACATTGAATTCTATATTAAACATGTATTTTATTAAACCCTATTTCTTAACGAAATACGAGATCAAATATATGAGATCAAATCACATAGTATTGGCACAAGCTCCCCAATCATTTGCAAGGAATTCCTACAGCTACAGTGTAATGTATACATATATAATGTAGACACATTGGTTCATAGTGCACTGTGTGGTCTGGTGTGTAACCTCAGCTATGATGTGTATGTGGGGGATGGGAATATCCAGAGACCATTGCATTAATTAAATACAGCTTGGTCATTGATTCAACTAGCTAATAGGATTGCCCTGATATTTAACTATTTGATCCCCTTAACAGCTGGTTTACTGATATTTCATCAACAAAGCTCTTTATGAATGGGAAGTGATTTAAATTTGAAAATAAGAAGTGTCCTAATTTGTTGCAGTAATGTATATATATATTTTGACCCCCCCCCTTTCAAGCAAAAAAAAAAAAATATATATATATATATATATATATATATATATATATATATATATATATATATATATATATATATATATAAACAACCAAAAATAAGTATATGTGGAAAAATACTTTAGGCAAAGTACCTGGCACTCTCTAAATGTTGAATGATAAATTCTTAAACTAGTAAATAAAGATAAATTCTTAAACTATACATGGAAAAATGTTTGTCAGACAGTGCTCTGTCTTATTCCTTGTCTAAAATAACCAAGGAACCTTACTGTGCCAACAGCAAAGGACAAGATACATAAATCACTCCAGTCTTCCATCCTCTGTATTTAACCCAAGGAGACCTCTGTGACACTGCCCTTGTTAAATAACATCACCCGTAATAGCTGGACCAACTATGTATGCCATTAATGGTTCATGCTTAAGGGGAAAAATGGATTGTTCTTTGTACATATCAAGTCCTTGTTGAGTTATCTAAAGTTGTGTTTAGACTATGATGATGTTGGACTGGAGATTGGTCTAAAATCTGGTATTTGAGAATAGATCAATTTAGATCTAATGGGTTATAATTTTTCTCTGGATGTTAGTACATTTTTGATGATAAATGATTATAAACGGTAGTAGAAATAATGGATTATAGTGAAAAATTTGTGGTCTGCTTGTCTGAGGGTGGATTTTGAACCAAAATCCAGTCCAGGTAAGTCATGGTCTGAATGTGACGAATAATAACTGAAAATCTACCATATAACCAATGTCCCTTTAGGACCAAGTGAAGCAAAGACAATTAACAGCTATATTATCTGTATTAAATGGCCAAATGGTATTTGGGATGCTGTCCAAATGGGCTACACACTCCCTATGCCCCCATCAGGTTGTTAATGAGGGCAGTTAGAGAAATTGGCCTCATCTTTGCCACAAAGTGGTGCCCTTGCTTACTTCATAATTCAACATGTGCTTGAGATAGTCAGATTGGCTGCTAATTTTGTAAAGATTTGTCACAGGTATTTTGGACCTTACCTTTCAGGTCAGTTTTTACCTGTAAAAGTTCAGTATGATAGGGTTTTTTTATTTGCCAAAGAGATGGGGAATTTTAGCTGAACCACAAATTTGAACCAGTTTATCAATAATAAATTTTACAATTTCCTTGTTCAAACAAGGAGTTACAACTGTTGTAACTCCTTGGTTTAAATTAGAATTTATTTATTTCTTTGTTTAAATGTAGAGTGCTAGTATGTGGGTCTACATTATACTGGGCATTATGGCCCTGGTGGACAAAAATGACCTTTTATAACATATTGCCACATAGTTCTGATGCCTTTTTGCACACAGCTTTTTTTTTTCTTATATAAATTTTTCTTGGCACTTTAAATTCCTGACCAGTAAGTCATAATGTGCAGACAACATTTCAGCTCACTTTATTCTGTGCAGCATCCATGCTGTTTCTAGTTTATTCCAGGCCAAGTTTTACACCATGTTGAAGTGTTTTTGTAATAAAAGATGAGATGTGTATCCTGATATTTCCACTCATATTTTACTTTATTTTCTATTGGCTCTGAAAGCTATGATGAAGATGTTTGACCTTTAGTCTTCCTGTTCTGAGTTGTTGTTTTTTTTCCGAATCTTGAGAAAGCGTCATGCTTTGTTTTCAAGTGACTGTGAAATAAAATAAAAAATCCTATCAGGCAAGTCTATGTGAAAGTCTGTCACATTATATGTTCCTTAAAGAAAGTTGTTCAGTTCTCTCTTTGGATAACAAATTAGGTTCCAGTGAACTTTCAAAATATTTGTAGATCATGATAAGTCACTTCTGTAATAGTTAATCTTCTTGGTAAACATTGCAGGGGAATGGACCTTGTTTGCATCACAAGTCAAGTATTGTATTAAATACTTAGTCAGGAAACCGAGAAAGCACCATATTTGAGGTCATGTTCACAATCTTTCTAACTATACCCAATTCCACTTGAACCAAACAACATATATTCACAACTGGGTATAGCTTTTCACTATAGATTATCATATCCATGCTATTATTGTTCTTCATTATTATTAGCTCAGCCCTGGTCTTTTTGAAAGAAAGGAGTTTTGGACCAATAAAGATCGGTGTTGAAAAAATTGTCTGCAACTTTTCTGACAAATGTCAAATGATATATGATATTAATCAGCAGTTTCCAGCCAGGTTTTAGTCAAATAAATCACTTGTAATGCAATTGAATGTTAAACAGTAGACTTTGTTCTGGATTTTAGACCCCATTTCCAGAGATTAGATCGATCTACTTTAGATCGACCTAACTCCCTGGGGGTTCACGCTAAATAGCTATCAGCCGAGCGGACACAAAAGTTAATTACCCCCTTACAGCTTGTAGTAGGCGGGAGGGACATTTAAGCCAGATTATCTGACAGTAATCTAGTGGGACTTCCCGCGGGGATAGATCGATCTAAAAGCTCTGGGAATACAGCCTTAGTGCAGAGTGAGTGTTTGATTTGAAAGGTATAGTAGTATCCTGTGGCTAGGAAAATAGTAGGCATTTGAGTAAGAAGGCTAGACTGCGCAAGAGACTAGCCATTGTAAAGAAGTGCTCTTCTGGTTTAGAAGTCTGAACTCTACACAAGAGACTAGTTATTGTAAACTAGTGCTCTTCTAGGTAAGAAGTCTGCTCAAAAGCATACCTATCGTAACATAGTGTTCTTCAGTGTTAGATGTCTAAACTCTGCACAAGAGACTAGCAATGGTATTATTTTCTCTGCATGGTATATTATTCTAGCAGCCACCCAATGCCTATATAACGTGTATGTGATTATTGTTTAGAAAGTTGACTGGTTTCACAATCAGTGGGATATACCCGCATGCCTTGATTGAAGCCGTGCAGATGTACTCTGTTCATAAAATTGCTGCCCATATTGTTAGGATGTGAATGTAGAAAGTGAAAATATTAGTTTTTAATTTGCTCTGCATCTGTTAGCTGATGCTACTTGTAGTGATACTGTAATGAGCAGAGAAACACAATTTTATAAAAAGAAAGTGGTGTATAGTGTATCAGTTGGGTTCTGTAGTGGTTGGATTGATTTTAGCTCATAATTTTCTTTGGTTTAAGGCAAAAGAAGAGTTAGTAACTTCCTTTTCACAACCTTTTTAGAGGGCATTACCATTGAGGAAGCTATGTAAAAGCATTGCAAGAGCTGCAAATTATCTTGGGTGTGGCTAAGAAATCTGCGTCTCACAGATCGAGTTACTGGCAGAACGATTGGAAATAAAAATCTGGTCTAAAGTACTCTCTCTTCTTCTCTTGGCATCCATTCCAAGTCTCTGGCTGTCTTCATCTGAATTTGCTAGTCTGAAGTGCTCCTTCTCTGAACAGTTGTACTCACTTGAATAGTTCACGTTATCTTATCTTTGTTGACAGGTTCACTGTGACATAGGACCACTGGGGAGTCATAAATGGTACTTACACTTCAGTTAACTTATTGGGTGGATATTGTGTCTATAACAAGTTATTTCCTACTAGCTTCTCTCTCTCTCTCTCTCTCTCTCTCTCTCTCTCTCTCTCTCTCTCTATTTGT